TTTCTCAAAGTGATCATGCCAGCATAGCTTGAACACTGACCTTTCATATGTGTGTCCGATAAGAAGATATTCAAGGTCCCACCGCACACTCGCTAAGATGATTCTCGAATGTTGGCCTGCGTTTTGAAAATTCAAACCCTCTGCGTACCTGTAATGCTCCTACACTCTTCATAAAGCTCTGAAATTCTTTCAAGCGATTGGTCTCACCAAGTAGGGGTCGCCTCCAGCATTGTTGCAAAAACTTCTTGGACCCATGAGACTTAACCCTAAACCTTTCCAAGCCTTGTTGGGGCCATGAGAGACTTTGCCACATTCAACCCGGTGATGCACGCCTGTTTCCTTCCAGTTGCTGACAGCAGCTGGGGGACGGGTTCTGGAGGAGTCCCTACAGGGCTCAGGGTTTAGGGTTATAGGGTTTGGGGTTCAGGATTGTAGGGTTTAGGGCTAGGATTAGAGGGTTTGGGGTTTAGGCTTATAGGGTTTGCGGTTTAGGGTATAGTATTAGTCTAGATTGGGGTCTCCTTGCTTGTGGAATCCTGTGTGATCGGCATCTCACTCAACCCTAAACCACGACCTGTAGGGACACCTTGTGGGACCTTGGTTTTTTTCCTCCTTGTTAATTGCAATGTCACTGGTTGATCCCTGCGCAAAACAGTGCAGATGGAAAGGCCAAATGGCTAGAGATTCTGGGCTGCTGTTAAGGAACTTAAATTGAGTTACCATAATAAGGGCATACAGGGGTATATGGGGTATTTAGGGTCTAGGGTTTAGGGTTTAACCATAATGGGTATATAGTCAACAAGATGGTTTCCCCGATATAGTAACCTAACTTGAATTCTTGAACAGCAACCCAGGATTTGTCTTGGTATTTCTCAGGAGTGGGGTCCCGTGGACTAACTTCGAGATGATGCCATCTAGAGGAGATCTTCCTTGCTTTCCACTCAACGTTAGGGTGGCCAGCTTGTGGGCGTTTCCCTTGTGAAAGGTGTGAGAGCATTTTTCCTTCATCAAGCTAGTTTTGTTGGACCTCTGCCCTGCCTATCGTCAAGACTTGCGTCCCCAGACCCCTGGGAGGATCTAAAAAAATAGATCCCCTATATAGACCTATTGTAACCCCTATATTTCCCTTATATAATCTACCATATGGTTCTAGGGGATCTAATTTTTAGATCCCTCTGGGGGCCTGGGTCGTCAATGTCTGGAAGGTCGTTGGGCACGGCACTCGGATCCAGAGCTTGAAGCTATCAGTTATCAGCTTGCCAGATGCTGAGGCTGAGATGGGATGCGCATGACCCAGGAGCATGTGAACCTGGTCAAAAGACCAGCCCCATCCAGGATTCTTCTGGGCAGTTTCAAATGTTGGTGTCCATGAATGAAGTGCGTGCTATCTGGACCGCCCAAGCCTAAATCTTACAAATTCCCATGGCCCATAGCATATATACAAGAGCACAGAATACGGTGGCCTTCCGGTGTTTGAAACCCCCGGACTCGAGACTGCAGCTGATCTAGATGTTAGATCTGCTATAGCCACCACAGAGCACAAGGCGAGAAAAAAAAGAAGCGAAGCAAAAAGGTGGTGAAGCCCAAGATTTGATCATTCCTTAGCTTTTCAGTATGCAGATACGTGACAAGGATTTTGCGGTTCAGGGTTTAGACTTTAGGGTTCATGGTTTAGAGCTTAGGTTTGGAGTTCAGAGTTCAGGGTATAGAGCTTAGGGTTTAGGATTCCCTTTCTGACGAGTCTGTGAGAGGGAGACAGAGAGAGAGAGCTTCAAAGTCAGTCATTCCTGCTTTTGAGAGCCGTCCTATATGGGAGCTTTCGTTTCCAGAAGAAACCTACGGTAATCCTGAAGTGACATCCCAGTAAAACGCAGCGGTCCCCAAGGGCGCCCCTTTTCGAGAAGCTGCTATATTGCTTGAAAAGAGTCCCTAATTCTGTATCCCCATAGTGGTGACGATCCCACCCGAAGTTAGCGCTGAACCAATCCCTGGACACTCTGAACGCATGGGTATTTCACAAGTACGCACGGGGTATATACTAGGTTAAGGGTATAGGGCTGGAGCTCCCGTGTACGTAGTCATGACCTACTTGCCTTGAGAACTGTGGCAGCTTAGCTCGCTTGGGAAATGCAGAACGTTTAGTCTCTACAGCATGTCCCTAAACCCTAAACCCCTAAAACCCTAAACCTTAAACCCTACATGTCTCTAAACCCGAAACCCTAAAACCCTAAACCCCTAAACCCTAAACCCCTAAACCCTAAACCCCTAAACCCTAAACCCCTAAACCCTACATGTCTCTAAACCCTAAACCCTATGACCGTATTGCAAGGAGCTTGCTTGCAGCGTCCTGCTCTCAAGATCCAACCTCTGGGACACCATCCGACAGGTCGGGGATTTGGGGGTTCTGCTTGGGTTTTGGGTTTAGGGGTTTAGGGTTCAGGGGTTTAGGGTTTAGGGATTTAGGGTTTAGGTTGGGTACTGCCCCCTCCCAGTAACAGTCTATAATAGGGGCCCTATGAAAGGCTATATATAACCAGATTATAGTTATTATCCAACTTTTACTGAGGGGGGGGCAGTTCTGAAGGTTTTGGGTTTAGGATGGTTTAGGTATACGGTGAGGGGACCGAGGTAAATAATGGGAAGACAACGAAAACTAACATGTATTTTTCAGTTAAGGGCTTAGGCTCAGGAGGACTTAGTAAGCAGGTGAATAATGGGGAAAACTTCATGAGCTTATTGGTACTTACTAAGCCCCTCTTGACCCTCCTAGTACTCATCAGAGCCCCCTCGAGAGGGCGTCCTCACACTTGGGATTAGAGTCTCTGAGTTCAGGGAGTAGTTGTGTTTAGGGCCCTAAACCCTAAAGGGTTTACATTTTGGATGTTAGCTCTCACCCAGAAGGTCGTAGCTCAAACAAGCTCGCCAAGTACAGCCCCAATGTAGCGCCTGTTTGAACAACGCTTCCCCTTCCTCAGAAGGACCCTTAAAATGAGGGGTACAACCTGAGGGGTACAACCCTCATGCCGGCAATGAGGTTCAGGGTTTAGAGTTTAGGACTGGATAAATGAGGAAGTGCGAACCACACGAAGTGAAGTAGGGTGTTTCATCATTGCTTTCGGTTGGTTCATATAGGGTTCCTCAGGAACATTGGTGAGTGTTTATATTTGGAATTTGGGGGGACAGTTTCAAATCCTACCATAAGTACCCTAAACCCCAGGTAATCAACCCTGCAACTCCCAAAGTGATGCTTTTCCCCCATACACTTTCAGTACATAGCGCGGATATTTATTCTAAGGCGTGGCGGGGCTTATTATTAAGGGAGACGGCTATCCTACAGCCTACAATGGCTTTAATGATCTTAGTAAGCGGCGGAAGATGGATTTAGGGGATGGGGTAGTTTAGGGATTAGGGTTTGGGTTTAGGGCAAAGACCCTCTCTATTCAAGGGTTCCGGGGTTGTACCCCGAAGGTCGTAACCCTGAAAGGTTTCCCCAATATGGCCTTAATTTAGCTCCTTGAACGGATCCCAAATCCCCAGGGGTACAGCCGTACAGCCCTAGGCGTACAAGTCTGAAACCATGGATCTATACTACCCCCCTTGGCGCCCCTTCAAATTAAGGTTATTGGAGGATAAGTAGGCCTCATTACGGTTAATGAACGGGGAACCTGGGGGCGGAGGGAGTATAAGAGAGTGGTGTAGTAGGTTAATCTCTGAGATTATTGGGTTTAGGGGCATGCTGCTTGCAAGGGGAAAGTTGCAGTCTTAAAAGTCACTTACAGGCGATACTGTGGGGGTCGTACTGTTAAAGCCAATTCCAAAACGTTCGGCCCGTGCATTCGAAGGTTTAGGACTCAGGATTTTTCAACTCTCCCTTAGTATGAGGGCCACCCAAAAAGCAGCCCTAATCTTTTTTTCCAGCCCAATTCTAGGGCGGGTCATTCCCATTGCAACTATCTCACAAGGGGTTTTATTATGAGGCTATTATATCCCGTATTTTCCAGGGATTAGGGGTTGAGGGTCGCGGGGACTCAGTAAGCATGCTTGTAAATAGACCCCATAACTCTTTTGACAACCCAAGTCGTCCCCACTATGAACCCCAAACCCTGAACCCTATAACCTACTTACTAAGTCCCCTAGACACCCTAAACCCTGCCCAGTAGGGCCTGGAGTCTGTATACTAGGGATTTCTCGCAACTACTTCAGGCTTGGGCTGATGATAAACTCCCAATAAGCAGCTAAACAGGGTAATAGAGTTTTTCAGGGTGTAAAACTCTAAAACCGAAACCCATTACGTTGGCGTTCTTCCTTTTTGTGGCCATTTTCATGGCGGAGGTGGGCAACATTATTGCCAGGGGCCAGGGACCGCACACTTTGGCACTTCTGCAGATCACGGGAGTGGTTGCGCACCCAGTCGGCCCGTTCAACATTTGGGGCAGGGCCACTCCCCCTCGGTCAAGTGGTCCCAGGCCAAGTATAAGACCTTCGCCACGCCCCATGATGACTATTGAAGATGACGACGCGGACCCTACATGCGAGGACGAGCACGAGAACGAGTATGTGGAGGTTGTGGTTGATGATGAAGAGCTTGCAGATGGAGGTGGAGGTGATTGTGAAGAAGAGGAGCCGGTGGATGGCATGGACTTCCCCGAGACGGCTGGGACAGATTTGGATGCCTTGGCCTCAAGTCCTGTGAGTGGTGGCGTGGTTGCTGGGGATGAGATCTCTGAGGGTGCTGTAGTGGAGTCGTGGATGAGGCGGGAGAGAGTGCCAGGGAAAGGGCCAGGACATTGCTGATGGTGGCTATGGAAGGCCGATGGACTTGCCGACGTGCATTTACTGGAGCAAGGGATGGCAGGTTCCGCACCTTGGAAGCGCTTTTGGCTACGTATGGCGCCTCGTCTATCGATGCCGCGGGGGCTGTGGCTTCTACATCTTCCACGTCGGCTTCGAGTTCCTGCCTGCCTATAGCTTTGGAAAGTACGAGGATGTGGGCCACCGAGGATTACCAGAAGCTTAAAATCTTTCTGGAGCTCCAGCATGGTGGCGAGGACGATGACTTTGACGCGGCGCAAGAGTCTCAGACCTCTGTGGAGTTCATGGGAGACTATACAGTATGGAATAGTAGTGGCGGACGCCGCGCAACCGAAGAAGAAGCCCGACAAATCCGCGACAAAGGTGAGGATGATGAGAAGGAGCTCCAAGAGGCACGTCTTGCGGATGAGGATCGCTTTCAACGCGTGCGGGCTGCTAAAGCGCAGGAGTGGGACAGAGCAGTGTTGAATGCGGCCATGAATGAGAAGCCGTTGTCCAAGCGCATGCGACTGGAATACGAGATAAAGACTAAGACGGGTGTCTCCGTCGGTCGTGGTATTCAGGATGTGCTGGTGGAGCCGACAGCGCAACTGGTGGCCTCAACGACGGTGGCGGAAATTCAGGAAGGGCCACATGAGAATGATGGTGTCGATGAAGAGGAGGACGATGTCGGGTCTCCGCAGTTTGACGGAGCCGTGCGGGAAGCGTCCCAACATGTCCAGCCTGTTGATGAGGTGGAGCTCATTCAGGTGGATGGCTGCTCGCAGGAGGTGCTCAAGGCTAACCTGGCGCTGTTCGTCGACGGGCCGGCCACGGAAGAGGTGATTGAGGTGCGGAAGTGCTGCAGTGGTTCTTGGCCCAACGTGGCCGGAAGCTTGCAGGGGATGCCGGTCTTGGACATACTGCAGGGCTGGAACGTGATGAAGATCATCGACTAGGACATGGGGAGGGACAAGGTGAAACTCGTGCGGGTCCATGCATGGATGGACTATGGCTCTCCTGGCCTTTGCTCCTGTGGATGCTGGCTCTGGGATGGTGCGAGATGACGGGGTCATCCTTGCCAAGTCCGTGCTCTTCTGAAGTAGCGGGCGATCTCTTTTGACTGTCTGGTAAGGGATAATCTGTGAATGGATGCACTTCTTCTGTTGGCGTTCTCGCTGCTGATCTAGTTGGTTTGGAAATTTCCGAGATTCCTGCCATTTTGGTGGGAGTTTGTGGGACAGCGTGTTGGGTGCTGTATTTGCCCCTGCGCAATTACGCATTTCCTGACCTTGGCGGACGGAAAAGAGGGGCTGCCAAAAAAAAAACCTAAACCTCTAACATTATGTTACTTGGTGCTGAGAAAGCGTAACCCCATGTTCGGGCATGCCAATTTGGGATCAGGGTTACGTAGGACTGGGGATGGCAGTTCATAGGGTTTAGGGTTTAGGGCGACATTGCAAACTTAACGAATATAGATTTGGGCCTAGTGTTAGGTGGGCAAGGGTATCAAAACAGAGCAAGTTTGCCTTAGGTAATTATTCCTCTTCTGTTTCACCTCCTTCAACAGTAGCAAAATGCCATCCGTGCACGAAGTGATTGAAGTGGCTTCTTATCAAAGCACAAAACCTAAGCCAAAAATGATTGGGGAAACTGAGGGAGAATGGGCAAGTTCCAATAGGGTGTTTAGGGTTTGGGGCGGGTCGTTGGCTGTAGCTCTCCCCTACACCAGGGGACCCTCATTTTTGTAAACTTTAGATCCCTAAGCGAGAGTTCATTGAATGCTTTCTATATGCTCATTACGAGGACCCTTACGATTCCCTCACATTTCTCTCTGTACCCCTAGGATCCCGAAAGAGACTGTCATTTTAGATGTCCCAAAATGCGAGTCTGAGGGTTGTGTGGTGTTTGTTTTGACGGCTTCTAAGTACGCGAACACCTATAACTCCTGTCGCAAAGCCCTAAACCTAGAAAGCTAGAGCGTATAGAGACACCTCATTGTCAGGACTCAGCCATCATGGTTTCTACACCAGGAATCCTGCCAGCACCCAGATTTATCCACAAGTTTTGATACATTGGAAGTCCCAATCTGGTTACAGGATCTGGGGTGGACGCGGTTGGGGGTTGAAAAATGGAGACCATGAATTCCATATGAGCCATAATCTAAACTCCTGAAAAGGGGGTCTTTATAAAGGACTATTGTAGGGGGTTATCAAGGGGGATATCAGGAGTTCTGACAGTAGCCCATATTCCTTCTGACTGCCCCTGGCAAAATATGTAGGATTTGAGGGGAACTCCTTCATTCAGATCTCATCGGTTCAATGCCGGAGTACAATATCCCAGAACGCAGTCTCATCACTCTGTTTGTATTTGCATCTTTCAAGATAATCCTTCTTCATGCACTGGGCACACGCAGTTGGAAGACCTCCGAACGATGCATGCGCGGATAAGCATGGCTAATGGGTTTCTCTGTCGAATTGTGCCCCTTTTTGGGTGGGAAGTGGGGCCTAGTAAGCATACCTATCAGCCCCCTAGGCCATGGAATAATTGCACTTATTCTCGGCATCAACGTACTTACTAAGTCCATCTGACTCTCTAAGTAAGCATTTGAAGGCTGGCGTGCTACAGCAAGTATGTTGAACAGTTGACGAGCGCTAGCTCCAATGGCATTTCCTGCTGAGGTAGACACCTGAGCAATTACCAACAATTGTCCCTGTCGATCCGTGTAGACAGGAGTGTATATGTCGGGGCTATATAGGGATTATATGGTATATATAGGGGATATGAAGGGGTTTATATCGGGGTTATATAGGGGGTTATAGCTTGAGAAATAGCAGAGATGGTGCACATAGACATAGAAGTCGTTCACAGTACCCTCAGGTGGGGCTTTCCAGAAATTGGGGGGGTCCTATTTTGGGAATGCTTCTGAGAAAGAGGATACGATTTGGGAAGGGAACCTTCCCTAAACCCTAAACCTTCTACACCTCTTTTCAACCCCCTATACCATCCTTGCGAAGCAACAGGACCCAAAGACTTCCTACACATCAGCACGTGGAGAGCCAGGGGACTAAGTAAGTGTGCTTTAGTATTTAGGATATTTTAGGATTCAGGGTCAATGGGATGTAGTGGGTTGATAGTTGGTATAACTTGGGCTATCATATGGCCTATAGAGGTCATAAGTAAAGTTACTGAGCCTCCTTGACTTCGCAAGTAGGGCTTTCAAGGATACCCTTGTTCTCGATCACCTGCACAGCTGCTTCAGGACCAACAGAAGGGTTGCAGCCCGCATGCTATGCAATGAGCTAGTGGATCATAAGTGAGTGGCGCCGTGTGCTGACGATAAGTGTTTAAACCCGAAGCCCACAACAAGCCCTAAACCCTACACCTGAATGAGAAAGATTTAGGTTTAGGGTTTAGGGGCTTAGAGTCCTTAGGAGTAACTACCACCCCCCCTCTTAGGAAACCTGCTAAAAGCCATCCTTCTTGAGCAGTC